CCCCCTTCTCTATTCTTCTTAGTTAAAAGTGTTTTTCGTGAATGAACATACATGGCAACCCATGGTCCAACTGGGTAAAGAGAGTGGGTGGTTGGCGGGTGCTCTTGTGTGGTTTGCTCCTTCTTTCCTATCAAGCATCTATCGTCCTTATCTCCCCTCCTTCTTTTTATGTTTGTTACTCTCTCGTAACACCTCATATTCCCTGGCACTCATAAGACCGTATGCAGTTTGCGAGCACCGTAAAACCTCTACTAAAACAGACATGAGTATGGAGATCCCGGGTATGCGTAGTAGGTCAAGTAAGTCCTGAAAGGAAGGTCCAAGATTACTTTTGTCCAAGTAGAAAATGTTGGTGATGTGTGAAGAACATTAACAGTCAGTCAAACTAGAGGATAGCCGTTTTTTAAAGAGACATACGGAAAATAACTATCAGTAGGCCAGTGCCCCCCCCCCCAAAAAAAATAAAAAAAATAAAATAAAAATTTCTGAATATCTCGCACAAAATATGTTCTAGAACACTGTGATTTGGAACAGACATAATTCATTCAAAAGGAATCTGTTTGACCTAAAATTCACGAAGAAGAAACTTATTTCTAAAACGGAAAAGGTTAAAGAAAAAAGCACCCCAAAACTCAAAATTCACCATTAAAAAAAAAAATCTTGCAAAGGAAGTAGGGAAAAGATTGGTGCCTTTTTATTTTATTTTCTCTTTGACATTTAATTTTCCATCCCTGTAACATTTGAACAATATTTAATTTATTATACAGAGTTTAAAAACTATCGATTGCTCTATATGCCCTCCTTTGGACTCGACACGTTTTAAAGCGTTGCTCGAAATGTTCAACGTCGCCCAACAAACGGACCTGCTAACCCATAAGTGTTTAAAGCCACACACACTGTACATAATATTCAGTATGAAGTGGCTTCTAGAGACAATAGGGATTGGGGTCCCCATAGACAGCAATGTTGGAGTCAACATACCGCAGGGTGAAAATGGGCTTTGCACTAAATCAAAAGTCATCGAGGAATTGATCCCGCTTTTCAAGACAATTGCGGAATCATGAACACATTGCCATGCTCTGATCCATGACATCTCGGCCTAGCCAAGATGAAAATGGTACGGTCATAAATTAAGATCTGCCCTGAGAATGCAGACTATTGAGGTGTAGGAAAGCCCTAGCTGCAGATCGTCTACGAATAGACGTCTCAAGGGTCTCGACTACTGAAATGGCGCTTGTTCGACCTGAAGTGGTCATTTTTTAATGAAACCTTTAGCTCTGATTCGCCACAGATCCAAAGTGACGGAACTTCTCTACTCATGACACAAAAGGTCTTGGGGGCACCTTAGCATTCTTTCCATACCGGGCGCAGAACTTACGAAAAGCCATAGATGGTGAGTTTGCGGAGATGTGATGTTCAATACAAAAAGCTCCCTACTCTTTACTAAACTTAACCATGATCTCGGCAAACAAACATAATTTGGGAACAATAATATCTTCAGACTAAATTGCTGTAGCTTGCAATATGGAGATAATGTTGCAATTTTTATTGGTAATGCAAACTGGTGCGTCTTGCTACGAAAACGGGTAGTTTTATTTAATGCGCCATATAGAGCAAAACCATTCGATGGACTTATTTGAAATGAATATCAGACAAATTCGTTTTGGCTTCCAAATATTATGATCAAATCTGAAACGCAAAACTTCGATATAGAGGAAGATATTTACAAAACAAGTTGTGTAGGTTTTTTAAAATCACCCTGTATACTACATAAACACATATAGACGCAAGAAATGAAATGAAAAAAAAATAGCACATGGCTAATGGAATAGCCAGTGAAGATAAATAATCACCGAGAGCAGTAAGCTTTATATTTGAAATTAGACAAAAACTGGACAAGAAGACACACGTAAAAATAGTTGGGCGTTCGAACTGCTCTGAGTGCCCTGTTCTACATCATGGTAAGACACACATGGGCTTCACGGCCCTTTCAACACCATGATCTTTTAAGAGGTAGGACCATCGGATTTAACGCATATGCCGGGTACAGTCATAAATTAAGATCTGCCCTGAGAATGCAGACTGTTGAGGTGTAGGAAATCCCTAGCTGCAGATCGTCTACGGACATACATCTCACGGGACTCGACTACTGAAATAGTCCGTGTTCGACCTGAAGTTGTTTTTTTTTTAAAAAGGAAACTTTTAGTTTTGATTCTCCATAGCCTACAAGGAGAGCCTTGTGAACTTCCCAAGTAACCCAAGTTCAAGACCGCCTAATTGAAGATTCGAATCAGGACCATAGCTCAGCGCCCATAACAGCACATTTATTAATGTTTGGAAAGATACACAGTCGTACAGAACACCATTTCGGATAAAGAGGCATATATCTTTATTTTATAACTTAATATATTTACAAAGTACATATCAACAGAAATGTGGGCAGTACCCAAGAAAGGGATACCTACTCGGTAGAGGGGAATAAACTAACACAAATGCATACAGCTATAGTGAAGGGAAAGATACATTCTATTCAGTGCTAGTATTTTGACATAGGAAGTATTTGTGTGACATTAAGGTGAAATCAGGCGCTCGTCAAAATAATACAATCAAAGAATTCGACATTCTTTCGATCACAGGGCTATTTTCATCGATATATTTCGGCTCAACTCCTTTCATATCCAATACAAAATACATTTATGTGTGAATTTTACTGGAAAACATTGCTCAAAGACACAAAAGAATGTAAATTAACAGTGTCCAAGGATATTCAAGCTTCGGAAGTCACCAAATTTTACCGGCCATCTTCTCGCTAATTTCACCTCTGACGACACACGACCCTCGCTTCCTTCAATCACAAATATCTCCACTCTTCTTCTTCTTCTTCTTCTTCTTCTTCTTCTTCTTCTTCTTCTTCTTCTTCTTCTTCTTCTTCTTCTTCTTCTTCTTCTTCTTCTTCTTC